AGCTGCATACTCTTATCGGCTCTCCATGTCAGGATTCTGGTTTTTTGCGCCAATGTCCAAGGCCAGGAAACCAAGCCCTGACAGGGGACCTTGTCGAAGGCCTTACTGAAATCCAGGTACGCTACATCCACGGCATTCCCCGCATCTACCCAGCTTGTAGCTCTATCGAAGAAAGAGATCATATGAGTCTGGCATGACTTGTTTTTGATAAATCCATGTTGACTATTAGCGATGACTGCATTTGTTTCTAAGTGTTTGCAAACCGCTTCCTTAACAATCTTTTCCAGAATCTTGCCCGGTATCGATGTGAGGCTGACCGGACGGTAGTTGTTTGGGTCATCCTTTTTTCCCTTCTTGAAGATTGGGACCACATTGGCCCTCCTCCAATCTGCTGGAACTTCTCCCGTTCTCCAAGAACTCTCAAACATGGTTGCCAATGGTTCCGAAATGACTTCCGCTAGTTCCTTCAATCTTCTTCAGGCTAAACATGCCCAGTTCCTTAAGCCACTCCTCACAGGGCTTGTTCTCCAGACCCTTGATCATTTGAGTCTCCCTCCTCTGGACACTTTCCAGCTTGTCAATCTCTCTCTTGAATTGTGGTGCCCAGAATTGGACATAATATTCCAGGTGTGGTCTAACCAAGGCGGAATAGAGCATGGGTAGCATTACTTCCCTGGATCTAGAAACTATGCTCCTATTGATGCAGGCCACTTCAAGGATGCCATCCATCCATCTTACCTTTGGTCGGCCACTCTTCCTTTTTCCTTCCATTTCCCCCAAATACACATTTCATCGGAAGTAAGACTGACTAGTTAGCTCCTCTCAATTAAAAAAACCCGTCGCAAATCAATTTGTCCCAGTTTTCCTTTCCTCTCCATTTTAATCCTGTCTCAATCCACTTACTGTTTCCATATACTCAGCCATCCTTTATCCTTAGTCATCTTGAGCGCACAAATAATGGCTGTTGTGTAAGTATATATCTGACTCTGTGTGTGTGGATAGACACACAGAGTCAGATATATACTTACACAACAGCCATTATTAAAAACACTGATCAACGCATATTCAGTTTATACACATTGATGCTGAAAATTTAGAGTTTTTCTAAGTCCTGTGGATGCCTAGGGACACC